AGAGAGAGAAAGAGAGAGAGAGACCTGCGAGACCTACTTCGGCATTTCAGCGCTATGAGCACTTGTCACACGACTGGCTCTATACAGTATGCCTGAAAAATAACGAGATTGACTCTATATCAATTTAAATATTGATTATGTATGAAAATTATTCACTACATTCTTTGACACAGTCATATTCGAATCGACTGTTAATATTTGGTGAATCCTTCCCACTTTCTTCCGACAAAGTCGCTTTTTGGACGCCCCAGCCGTTCGTCATTTTTCTAATCTTTTATGTCACTTTTAAGTTTTGCAAACTACTCAAAAACTTATATACAGGGCAAACAATTGTTTCCATAAACTTCAAAAGTTAATGACGAATAACCAAATGTTTGGTGATTTATCTGCATAGAGAATCTTGATTTACTATCTATAACGTAATTCACAATACTACGTTCTAACTACGTATTGGCTTTTATTCGCCATTCATCTTTTAACTTTCTAGTAGTTGAGAAATAAAAACATTTTATTGCCGAAAATAATTCTTTTGGGACACTGACAATAAATTCAGTTTTATTCTCAGAATTTTGAAACTTTAAATCGTGAACACAACCTGCCACAACTAGATATTTGAACAATAGATTTTATATAAATTTTTTTTCAGGAAATTATAAAAATTCCTAATTTGAAAACTAAGATGTAATTTTTGTGATTCAAGAATGAAAAAAAAATCTGAGGTAAAATGCAATTAGATTTAAAAATAGTTGTTGGCACTTAATTTCATACTTTAAATGTGACGTTTTTATGATATATAAATTAAAATTTCACGATACAATAAATTTTATTTTGTGCTTAAAAAATGGTACTTTTTTGAATTTTAAAATCTTGATGTCAGATTTGAATACAAAAATCATAAAAATGTTTAAAAATCAAGTTTAATTCTCAGAATAGAATCGGATTTTTTCTATCTCTTGGAGAAGTGGATTATATTGAGTTACTCGTGCAAACTCTTTAGTTATTTAATTTTTTCTAGTGTCGACAATAGCAGCATACTAATGTATGATTCTGTACATCTTAAAAGACATAAAACCGCGTTACAGCTATCATTGTCGCGGTAAATCATCTGCAATGGCTTTTATCAGACTCTTATTCGAGAACGGCTCGGTTAAAAAAGTTCATACACCGATCTACGACGGAGTCTTTCGAAATACCAAAAAGGCAGGGCGTTCGAAGGAACGCGCGCGAGAAAAAGTTGGCTCTTTAGTAGGTCAACGCCGATGTGTGTTCCTTCCCTTCGTCAGGATTACGTCACCACGTCTGCCTTCCGACTCGTGCCCGCTCGCCAACGCCCGCTCGCTAGTGTACGTGAAGATATGCCGTACGTATGCGTTATTGCGTGTGTGCGTTCGTGTAAGTACACGCGCGTTCGACCACCAGGTTTACACGCACATTTGCGTACACGTGTGTCCACATATATTGTATGTCTGTACTATAGTGTGCACACTTGACCACCCACCCGTCCGTCCATCTAGGTAACTAATAAAAATCATTTTGACATGCGGAGATAAAATGGTCGGAAAGTTTAATCACTTCCGGAAAAAATTTTGCCTAAACATATTTTCAATAAAAAAATGTCATGCATTTTATTTATTAGAAAAGTCAATAGCTTTAAAACAGAAATTTTACTTTGCAAAAAATATAGATACGTAAATAAATTCTTAATCTCTCTTTGTATAATATTTTATATATCTTTGCTATATTTTATAAAAATAAATTTTCATGTATTACTTACTATAGTTAAAAAAGTTTTTTTACAACATTTTGTCGGCATCTTGTTGCGTTATATTTATACAATTTAACTTAAATAATATAAATGTTATATTCTCTTCTAGAAATTAATGTTTAATCCCTGAAGTATTAATAACACATCTATGCGTCATTTTGTAAATTGATCGTCAGTGTGAATGACACATATATGCGACTTACGAAGTTTGCAACTTAATTTTTAAATTCAAAACTCACTAAAAAAAAATGTTGTATAAAATTTATTGAGCGTTTCTAATCGTATGAAATTTAGCATTTCTAATTGTCACATTGAGTTCATGATTTTAAATTTCAACACTTTGATTGCAGATTTCAATTCAACGCAAAAAAAGTACTGAACATATAACTTTTTTAATAGAAATTATTTTTGGCAAGCGTTTTTACTTCGTTTTTGTCAAAGAAAAAATTTCTTCGCGCGCTACTTTGGAATCGATGAGTTGTGTGAGGGGTTTGCGAACATATATGCGACTATCTGTTAGAAGAGGCACGAGGGGGAAGGCTATGCGGGTCGTGGTCGAGTCATGCATATCGATGTCGCCTAACATGAATTTTTCATCTATTTTAAAAGCCGTTTTCTCGCTCGTAAAAACCATAAGCTCGTTCTTTACTATTTGGACTACGAGAACAATATTAGAAACAAACCAACAATATGTTATGCTCATTCTTTCAGCTTTATATCACGAATTAAATACGAAATTCTGATTAACATAATTATATTGCAGGAAAAAGATTGATGTAAGATCAATACATCATAATTCAATAAAACTGCAATAAAGAAACAACAGCTTAATTAATATTTAAGAACTTTTAGATTAGAACAAAGGAGTTTTATTAAAAAGAGCTAGATTCGATCAAAATAAAAAGCTCTATTTTTCATATTTTTAACCATATTCGAATTTTAACCTACCAAATTTTATAAAAAAATTTTTTTTTGAAGATATGGATGCAGAGGCGTAATAATACCCTCTATCTTTTTGGGCGGTCTTGTTGCGCACCAAAGCAATATTGTATAACGTTTTAATCTCGACGTATTCCTTACAGCGAGCAGGCATTTATAACACAAATTACATTTACAACAAATGTCGAAACATAAACAATGTCTGGCAAATATACATCGTGTTTTTAACCGAGTAGTAATTTTTTATTTAAAATTCTCTTTAATAGAAATTCAAAACAGCATTGTGAAAATGTATCTTTGAAAAATGAATCTATGCGGAAGTTGAGGTGCATCCGGGTTGCTCTGCAGGGTCCTCGGCGGAGTCAATGCTTAAGATATACCACTACATCCTCTTCACCGATCGCAGTCAGCGCGGTGTCGTTCATTGATAGTCTCCGATAGAGAAAAAAAAGAAACGCACTCACTCACGCGTAGTGTTCGAGAGAGAGAAAAGAGAGAGAGAGAGAGAGAGAGAGAGAGAGAGAGAGAGAGAGAGAGAGAGAGAGAGAGAGAGAGAGAGAGAGAGAGAGAGAGAGAGAGAGAGAGAGAGAGGAGAGAGGAGGAGGAGGAGGAGG